GATGGTTCATGAACAAGTGGCCTTCCTTCCTCCCTCTCTCCCTGCCTCCCCCTCCTTCCCCTCCCCCATTGAGGAGAAAGTCAATAGAGAAAAGTTCTTCATATCAGTCCAATTTTCATTACATTTCCCAGTAACCTATCTAGCAGACTTTCCCAAAACGTGTGATGTACTTTTCTTTTGGAGGTACAAACAAATTCTAGGGGAGAAATGAAGAATCTTTTAGTTATATTGTAGTAATTTACTTTTCACAGTTTCATTTTTTTATTTCAGTTGTTCAGTTGTTCATTTTGATATCTAATTTTTTTAGGGGAGATATGTACATTAAGATTACACTAGAAGGAGTTTGGATAACAAAAAGTGTAAGAACCCCTGCCCTAAAGAATAGATTTATTACAATTTTATCTTTCCTCAGAATATACAAGTGTAAATAAACATCAATTTTTATATTTTTATTTCCTTAAAAAATAGAATAGAATAACATAGTTGGAAGGGAACTTGGAGGTCTGTTAGTCTAATACCTGGCTTAGGCAGGAAACCCTATACCATTTCAGACAAATGGTTGTCCAATCTCTTCTTTAAAACTTCCATTATTGGAGCATTCACAACAATTCACAGGCAAGTTGTTCCACTGATTAATTGTTCTCACTGTCAGGAAATTTCTCCTTAGTTCTAAGTTGCTTCCCTCTTTGATTAGTTTCCATCCATTGTTTCTTGTGTTGCCCTCAAGTGCTTTGGAGAATAGCTTGACTCCCTCTTCTTTGTGATAGCTCCTGAGATATCAGAACACTGCTATCATGCCAGTCTTTCTTTTCATTAAACTAGACATACCCAGTTCCTGCAACAGTTCTTCATATGTTTTAGCCTCCAGTCCCCTAATCCTCTTTGTTGTAAGAGTCTCAACATCTTTTTTACATCATGGTGACCAAACTGGATGCAGTATTCCAGGTGTGGCCTTACCAAGGCATTATAAATCCTCTGCTGCCTCTGTGATTTAGTAAATAAATATAGCAAACCTATTATAGTACTCAAAAATTCCACCACCACTGATGTGGGTGGCATAAAAAAATACAGTGATAAATAGTGTGACTTTAAATATGCTTTAATCCATTTTGAAGCAAATGAAGAAAAGAAAATTACATCAATGTGAAGCAATTGAGGATAATGTCAGACTATGACAATAGGCTGCATGCATTTGTGATTCAGGGTGACATTATATGAGGGAAAGCTATGCTGTATCACAAGATTACAAAGCATTGGAAAATATGTAATAGGTAATAAGTGTCTTGTTCCAATCACTGATTCAATGAATCAGAATCAGCTGCTGGAAGGAAGGTTTTCCTGAGTCAGGGCAAGTAAGCATATTAAAGTATGCTTTAAAATGTGGAATATGTTACTTTGTTAAACATAAAAAATGGTATGATTCTCTAGATTTATTATGCAGTTCATTATTAATTTTTTCTGTTGTTTCTTATCCTGCTTATGAATACATATCCAGATGCTTTTAGGAGGCCCACTTGAACTTCCCTGTGGCACAAGCATGCCTCAACAACTTCCATGTCTTTGTGATATTGCCTTCATCTAATCACCATACTTGAAGCAGCCTTAAGTGATCCTTTATTGTTCTGGTGGTAGTGTTTTCCCCCATTGTGACCTGAGGATTATACTATATAAACGGGCCTTCTGGAAATACCGAAGGCCGTTTCAGCCTCCCTAGGCTCCAGATGTTTCCCTCGAGCCTCTGGGAGGGTGAAAACGACCTCTCCTGGGCTCCAGAGGCCCTTTGGAGGCTGAAAATGGGCATTTCCGGTATTTCTGGAAGGTCTGTTTTTCGGCCTCCTGAGACTGCATTGCATTGTCGGTGCTGGCATGTGTGCACGCTTTCGGCACACCACAACAAAGAGGTTCACCATCACTGATCTATATAGCTATAGATCAGTGCACAGAGTTAAAAATAATTTAAACAATCCAAACCCTAACATCTGAGGTAGCAAGCAGCAATTCCAACTGGTCAGTAAACAACATAAACCGGTTGAGTTTGCTTAACTTCATAGCCCAAATTTCAGGGGAGAATAGTGAATCTTTAATTCATTACAAAAGACTAAGAAGCTAAGACCCATTAGATTTCGTAGGTCTCTTGAGGGATGCTTTTCCACAAGGAATGGATTAGCTCGGCACTTATTGATCAGTTTAGGTAGTTCTGGTACACTGTTTCCTCTTGAATCCCTAGCCATGGCCTACCAGAGGTTTTCCATTTTGAAGAGGAGGAAAATCTAAACTGGACTTGATCTCCATTCATGTCTCTGATCTAGGTGAACTAGATACTCACCCAGGAGACCTAGATTGGCCTTAATAGCAGCATATCAGCGGAGGTGAATAGGTGTTGCCTGTTTCTGAGCTGCCCAATTCTCCCCCCACCTGTTGTTTGGATTGCTTTTCAGCACAGTTTTAGCATTCTTCTGGAATAACACTCTACACATGTGCAGCTGCTTTTGAACATGGGTACAGCATGTTCTAAGATAGCATTAAACCTGTGTTCAGCAGGAGCCCAACTGTCAGCTAATATTAGTGGATAATTAGTCTCCCTTTGAATATATCCACTGGGACAAAACCAGAACAAGTCTAGATAGATGGTTAAACCTGTTGTGGCTCACTACCTCCCCTTCCAATAGCATCTCAGCGATTGTAAGTATTTTCCACTTACAAGTGATGTGTGAGGGGAGAGGAAGGAAATAAATCCAGCAAACAGTCCTCAATTGTAGTGAGTAAAGATGATGTCCTTGAAAGGCATTCAAAAGATCTGCTACCAAAGCAATGCTCAGATAAATGAGACTCAAGTACAGGATAAATAAGCCATTTATGAGAATGCCTCAGGCAGCTCTTTTCAGCCCCAATTCTCATGAAGAGGGAGGAAGGGAAGCACCAATCCATTGCTTCAGATTCATACTAAACATTTGACATGGCAGAAACAACAGAAACGTGCTCAAGCTACTTTGAAAGGGAACTCACAAAACACCAAAAACCAGGGTGGTTTTGAAGCTAAGATCCCCCCTGTCAGTTTCTAATGTGATCATCATCTAAGCCTTGCCTCCACAACTCTTTTAAAGGATGAGATCTTTTAGAAACTCTATGGCTAATACCTGTGAACTGAGCCTAATGCTTTATCAATCCAGTATTTCCAAACCTTGGCCATTTGAAGATGAGTGGACCTCAACTCCCCATGGAGAATTCTGGAAGTTAGTCCACACACCTTCAAGTGGCCATGGTTACAAACCTTTTTCTGCCTTCTGCACAGAGGTGAATTTGAAGCTGTGCAGAAGCAGATAGATAAACTCAACAAGACGTCCATAACAAATTACATTTATTGGTTCATCAGGTATCCTCATAACTCACATTTGTGATGAAGTACTTCTTTAATGACCAATCCTTTGTATATCTGCCTTGTAGTAAGAGTTGGTTATCTCCTAACCCATCTCCTAGCGATAGAAAGAAGCTGCCATGAGTTAGAGAGTTCAGGCAAAAGTGAAGAAAACTCCCCCAACCCCTCGAGGGTCAATTTAGCAGCCAATCAGGAATACAGATGTGGCCATGTGACATGAACTACATTTCCCAGATACCTTTAATTACATTTACCATGATGCATTCCCTTAAGGGGACAGCTCATAATTCTTAAGTAACTATCCAATTCCCATAGACTGGCTGGGACAGCACACTGATCCAATCTCAACCACACTCCCATCTCAGACCTTCTTTGATTTAAATGTCTGATCTTATTATACCACAGGCATCAGCAAGTATTTTCCTAAGTGATCAGCTCAGCTTGATTTCAGGAAATTTTAGCTGCCTAGGTTTAGTTATGGGAGAAGAACTGGCTGTTTCCCATCCATTTTAGGAATCTAGAACCAAAAGCAAAAATGTAGACATTCAATACCTGGGGGGTTAAACTAGGGGGAAATAATAGTATTTGTTGACAGGATATTAATGTCAGTGAAGGAATACTAAACTGGTAGAGAATCCCAGAAATATGCTACTAAATTCTCTTTCCTCTTCATGCTAATTTCTTTAATCTCTTCACCCTTGAAATTTAGTTCCCACCCTTATCTAGAGGATTCGTGGCAGTAATTACAGGTTTCACTGAATCATAACAAGTGATTAGTTGAGGGCAAGTTGTCTTTTCCTATTTGTCTTCTCTACTCTCATTAGGAGAATTATATCCTGGTACTTAAAGTGTAAAGTTTTTACTTTTTAAAATAAATTTCTGTTTAGGACTATAAATGGATCAGTAGCTGTTTGTTGCTGCTGGAGAAGAATGAAGAGTTAAACTTTTGAGGCTCACATGATAGTTTGCAAAATTGTTTTGCTAAAAAAGGAAAGACGCCAAGTGCCAGTGCCAAAATAAGCCAAGAGACCCAAAACTCAGAGAAGAAGACAAAGCAAAAGGAACTAATGTAGAGTCAAGGAGGCTTAGCCAGACAGTGCTACCCTCTGAGTGACTGGATTTTGTTTTGCTAGCTCATTCTTTTGAGGCTTGGGTGCATGAAAAAGGAAAGTGAGTTGTCTCGATGCTCAAAGCTACTACAATGGAGAGAGGGGAGGGAATTGTGAAAGGCAGAAGGGCTACATGGAAGCATGAACTAGGAATGGAATAATGCAGAAGTAGTGGAGGAGGCAAGGCAGCACTAGTTGGAAGGGAGAAAAAACCATGGGTAGGGGATGCTCTGCCAATCAGATCCATTGCCATTTCCCCATTTCACACATGCTTGGGCTTCTGTAAATATTTAGAGTCTCCATCCATCAGGAAACAAAACTGGATGCCCCCCAAGCCCCTCAAGGTGGAAAAAATGACACAATTGCTTCTTAATACCATCAGGCTGACATCAGCATCCTTGGCAGGTGGCGATTGGCCACGCAGCCTAGCCAATGGAAGGACTCCTCAGACCGGAGGAGGGGGAGAGTGTCAGAGCAAAGAGTTTTTAAACTCTTGCAGGGAAAGCTCTGGAGAGTCAGACCTGACGTGCAATCAGGGAAGCAGAGAACCGCACTGAGCAACAACACCACACGCCCCCTCCCCGTTATGTCTGCAACACATTTCAACAGGGGCCCAGCCTACGGCATGTCAGCTGAGGTCAAGAGCAAGGTAAGATGCTAGGTGTTTGTATATGTGTGAGAGAGGGATTTTGAGTACCCTGTGGAATGGTACTTTTTAAAGTCCAGGATCGGGCTGAATTAATCATAGGACTGGAGAAGTGCAAAAGACTGTTTGCCTCTATGAAAAATCCAGGCACAAAGGGAGAGAAATGCCCTGCTTTGGTGCAGCATTCCAAGCATTTCACAGACATTCTCTCCTTTCAGTCTCCATATGTCAAAGTAATGTTCTCCTGTATCCGAATAATTACAAGCAAGAGTGGACTGAGGCTGGGAAAACTATAGAGTAAACTTTGGAGCAGGCATAGAGAGAATGGAATACTGAAAAAACCTGTTTGTACCCATGAGCTGCATTTTTACTAATCCTATGTCTGGAAAGTTATGATTATACCCATTTTAAGATACAGCACAATAGATATGATGCAACTTTTGGCCCTCAATGGTACAGAAAGAGAATTTATACTTGAGGGTTCTGATTCTCTGTTTCAAGATATTTATAAGGTCTGTTTGTTGAACACTGAGAGGATAGCTTTTGGTCATGTGAATAAACGTTCCAGCCAGTTTGTAGCTGTGCTTTAAATATTAAGTAATGGCCTTTGAATGCAACAAACCTCACATCTAGACAAAACCCAGGACTCTGCATCAACAGATAATTCCAATCCCTGGCCCAGTGTCATCCCACCCCATGAGAGTTGTTCACTAATATGAACAATATATTAGGGCAGCACCAGATTGGGGGAATGCTGGGCGCTTGTCATAATTACAGAAGCAGTTTCAAAGAGATAAATATAAAATTGTTTTTTATAGTGAGTTCTATGTTAAGTACACAGAACTTAATTCAAAATAAGTCAACTTTAGACTCTGATTGCTGTTGATCTTTTTATTGTTTCCAAAAATTAATTTCGGTGTACTCAAGTTGGTATATGTGGAATCCCAAGCAGTATTGCAACAAAGGCAGGGGTGGGATTCTACCAGTTCGCACCTATTCGCTAGAACCGATTGTTAACATTCTAAGCAGTTTGGAGAACCGGTTGTTAGAAGAAATTACTGGCCTAATCCTGTAAGGAAGGCAGGAAGGAAACATTCTGGTGTTGCTTACAGAAACTGCCTCTCCGATAACCCTTATTACATTCTTGGCAGGACGAGACTTCCTGTCTCAGGAACATCTCTGGAGTTTTTTTCCCTTCCTTTGCTGGTACTTTGTTTGTGTGGAGTGACCATTCAAAGTTACAATGGCACTGAAAAAAGTGACTTATGACCATTTTTCACATTTACAACTGTTGCAGCATCCCCACAGTCTTGAGAGGCCAGGTGAGGAGATGCGTGTCTCGATGTGAGTGATATTGAGTTGGCCATGCCCAGCCAATAACATGACCACTAACCCATGTCCACCCAGTCACATGACCACCAAGCCATGCCCACCACCTAAGCCACGCCCACAGAACTGGTTGTTAAAAAATTTGAATCCCACCCCTGAACAAAGGATAGACCAGACTGAACTTTGGAGGTTCAGAGATGACTTTAACGAGTTTTTGCTATTACAATGCTTGCTTCTCATCTTAATGTATACATACACAGATTGCATACAGAGGTGTTTTGTACCTCTGTCTGCATAAAGTCTCTTCCTACAGGCCTACATCACATCAGTTAATTTGGAGGTGAGATTTGAGAGGAGAGAGCCAACAGGATTCACATGTTTCTTGAGAAATGTTGGCCTTTCCCTTGCTAGAGTTGTTTAAACAGAAGCCAACAGTTCATCTATTGGGGATGGCGGAGTAATAAATTCCTGATATAATCAAGGGTTTGGACTAGATGATCCCCAAGATCCTTTTCAACTATTATGTTGTATGATTTTATGAATGTGCTATTCCATAAGTCATGTGTTCCACCCCATAGAGGCTGAGTAATTATGGCTTAGCATGTTCAGGGAACCCTGTTACTTTTTCTTGCCTCTGATGCAGACAGAATGAAGGGATTTCAATGGATTAGCTAATGCTCATAGAGTGCTTAAAATGGATTAGCAAAATAGCGGGAAGCCCAGGAAGCCATGATGTGATGGAACTTCCATTTGCTATCCTTGACTCTTCCCTAAGTGAGGTAGCCACTTCAGATTATTGGTCTGAGGCGCCGTTTGGAAGGTAACAGAACACATAGAGCTATTACTTGAATTGTGGGGAGAGACAAACTTTTAATTTTGGGGGGACCCTTAGCTGCTATTTTAGGTGGTTTCCAGAAGGGAAAACATAATTAAAATAAAAGAAACTGAGGGAATGGCCAATGGCATCCCAATACCCTTTCCTCCCACCAGTACAAGTGCTGCATAGTTACAATCGAGTAGAAAGTTTCCCTGCAGTAGATCAACCCCAGACTTGTGTTCTTCCTTTCATTTTATAATTTGTGAGGGAAAGCTTCATCGGGACTATGAGGATTGTAGTGAAATTATTAGGCAGGAAAGTGTCCTACATTTCTGTCCTTTTAACTTAGCCTGACTGTTTGAATCTGTGTGGGGAGCACTCATCTACAGACCTCCCTGGATGTAAGAGCATCTGTCCAGCTCTGATCAGAATATCAGATACTGAATAGATACTGTCCAGAAAGTCAGTGAATATCAAGACTTGGCATCTCCAACTGACTCCCTAATCGGTCAGGAACAACTCAGGAATGTCTCCTATCCCCAATCACTGAGCTAGATGGATCACGGCTTGGCTGGGGATGAGACAGCTTCCCTAGCAGTTCCTCATCGATTAGAGAGAGCAGAACCTCTGTGGATTGGCCAGGAGGCCCCAACTTCTCTCCTGGTGCCCTGCCTTTCCCATGAGGGATGGTTCTAGCCAAAGACCAGACTCTTCCCTCCCCCTCCATGGCTCCTCTCTAGCCTGCGTTCCCCACTGTCTTGCTGGAGTCTCGGCAGCAACAGACTCACCATATATGGTCAGTTTTGGGGTTTCTTTGAAGGCTAGTTCTAAATAAGGGCATGGCTGGGCAGGGTGTACATTTTAACAGACAGCAGAGGGGCTGCACTGAGATACCAGGTAAGAGAAACCATCAACATAGCCTTCACACACGTTTGTAGACATATTTATGTGTGCATACACACATTTACACACACAGAGATATATAGACAAAGGTCCATCCTCCCCTTCATGATATAAACACCCATACGTAGCCATCAAAATGAATTTTTTTTTTTGAATTCTGGAATAGGAGAATCAGACTTCCTGAAGGAGAAGTGGTACCTTTCTCCCTTTCATCCTGTTAGTTACTCTGAAACATTACCATCATTAATTGCATTTTTTTTTCTGTTCTTAAGGAAAAATCAATATCTTTTCAGAACAATTCTGGATCCTAAGATCCTAAGATCCAGAATGAATTTTTAAAAAGTCATTTGGTTTTTAAAATACCAAACTTTCTTCCAGTTACATAGGTATCTGGTGCCCTGTGCACATATTTTGTATTTTGTTTCAATCTTCATCTCAAACATCTGCAAGCAAAGAAGCAGATCTTAACACTTTCAACTGATGTAAGATTTTGAAATAACTGAATTCTATAATTCTATAGAATTTTCAGGGAGAATAAAAAGAAATCCACTAAGAAACCACAGAAAGAACAAACTTAATTAAAATTCAAATATCTCCAGTTCTTTCAAACATCCCCATAATAAGAAAAAAAAACATGGAAACTTGCATGTTTTTTTATCATCAGATTGTGATTATTGTCTTTGTTGCTCTTTTCTGCACTCTTTCTAGGGCCTCAGCATCTCTTTTTGTATCTTGGTTATCAGAACTGAATGCAATATTCCAAGTGTGGTCTAACCACTGCAGTATAAAGCAGTACTGTCACTTCTCAAAATCCTGATGCTATTCTTCTGTTGATGCAGCCCAGGGCCACATCCGCTTTGGGGTTGTTGGGTTTTTTTTTTTTTGCAGTTGTAGCACATTGGTGGATCATACATAAGATACCTAGATTTCTTTCACAAGTGCTAATGTTGAGCCAGATACTGCCTATTCTGTACCTGTGCATTTGGTTTTTCCTGCCTATGTGCAGGACCTTATTTTTCTTACCATTGAATTGCATTTTGTTGGATAGGATCCAATACTCAAGTCTGTCAAAATCCTTCACTTGAGTGTATCTTTCAAAGTATTAACAGTTCCGAACAGCTTGGTATCATCTGCAAATTTGATGAGTTCCCTTTCTATCTGCTCATCTAGGTTAATTATGAAGATGTTAAAGAGTACTGAGTCCAAGACAGAACCTTGAATTACCCGACTCCATGCTTCCCTCCATGTCGATGTAGGACCACATGCTGAGTGCAGTTGGTCAGCCAACTGCAATTCCATCGGGTGGTGGTACTGTCTATCCCACATTGTAGACTGTGGCCTACTTTATCAAATGCCTTATTGAAGTCCAAGTATACTATATTCACAGTGTTTCCTTATCCACTAATTTAATCAGTTTAAGCAATAATATTTGTCTGGCATGATCTTCTGTTTTTAACAAGTTCATGCTGTCTTCTATCACCCTGCTCATTTCTAAGTGCTCAGAAATCTGCTGTTTTTTTTTTCTAGGATTTTCCCAGGAATTGATATCAAGCAGATTGGTCTGCAATTTCCTGGTTCCACTTTTTGTCTTTTTTTGCAAATTTAAACCACATCAATTCTTTTCTAATCCTCTAGCATTTCCCCCATGCTCCAGGAGTTCTGAAAAATTTTATTCCGTGTATCAGAGGTCACATCTGCCGGCTCCTTCAGAATCCTGGGATATAAACCATCTGATCCGTGTGATTTGAACTCATCTAAAATGGATAGGTGTTCTCTTACAATTTTTTTGCCGATTTTCACCTTGTTCCTGTTCCGTCTTCCACTTTGGATAGGCTGGCCTATTTTTTCCTTATGTGTAAAGACAGATGCAAAGAAGGAATTAAGCAGTCCTGCTTTCTCCCTGCCATCACTTCTTGTAATTTTCTCCCATTAGTAGACAGATCATTTACTTGAT